AAAAATAAACAAATCATCCGCAAAGCATAAATGGGTCAACTTGATCTCAGCACATCCTTGATGGTACGCAAAATTTGCCTCTTCCTCAATACATTTTGAAAGAAGCAACRAAAGACCTTCCATAACCACAGTAAACAAGTAAGGAGATAAAGGATCCCCTTGTCGGAGGCCCCGCTTACCAAGAAAGAAACCCTCCGGTTGTCCATTAACACAGATGGAGAAAGAAGGCGATGTGATTAGAGTCTTTATCCAGTTAATCATAACAGGATGAAAACCAATTCCCTTTAGCATCCCTAACAGAAATTGCCAGTCAACAGTATCATAGGCTTTCCGAATGTCAATCTTAAACGCACATTTTGGTTCCCCTTCAGATTTTTGATAACCAGCAACAAGTTCATGCGCCATTAAGATATTATCCGTGATCTGACGCCCTGGGWTGAACGCAGATTGGGCCCTGCTAATAAGAACATCCAAAGAGCCTTTTATCCGTCGGGCGAAAATCAGTAACACATGAAGCATTAGGAACCTTCGGGATGAGACAAAGAAGGGTATGGTTCAGCTGATATTCCAAAGTGCCAGAATAGAAAAAGTTATGGATCCCAATGAGAACGTCCTTACCCACCACGCTCGAAGCCGCTTTAAAGAATTTTGACGAAAACCCATCTGGTCCTGGCGCCTTATCATTCCCAATATCAAACAGAGCATCCTTTATTTCCAAATCCGAAATCGGCCTGATTAAGTGCAAAGATTCCGATAACGAAAGGGAGTGATCAAACGAGCAATCCACCATGGAGGGAGGAACCAGCATATTAGAAGTACCCARAATTCYTTCAAAGTGATTAATAAAAGCTTTTKGGACATCCTGGTGCTCAAACACAGTACCAAAGGAATCCCTAATAGTAGCAATATGGCTCCTATTACGCTTCTCTTTCATAGCATGGAAGAAGAACTTAGAGTTTCCATCACCTTCATTAAGCCAAGAGATCTTAGCTTTTTGTCGAACCATATCCTCTTGATCATTTCTAGCCTTTTGATATGCTAGTAAGAGGTGAGCAATATCCTCTTTCAGCAAATCATTAAACGGGTCTAGATCACAAGTCAATTGAGCAACATCAAGCTCCGTCTTTAACTGAGCCACCCTTTTATCCAAACACCCATAAGAATTTCTGAGCCGACGACAAACCCCYTTCATTTCTTGCAATTTCCGAATCACTCTTTTCATATAAGAACCTCTCTGAGGTTTCATCCACACCCCCTCTACGGATTTAAGGAAATCCACATGAGAAGTAATAAAATTATCAAATTTAAAACCACGCTGACGAATACATCTACCAACTTTAAAGGAAAGAATACCCGGAGAATGATCGGAGATTCCCCTTGGTTCAAAGAAAACCGAGGCGTCCCCAAAGCGAGAAATAAAAGCAGAATTCCCCAAGATACAATCAAGTTTACGCATAATTCCATTACCCCCAGAAGGTTTCTATATCCAGGTAAATTGGCATCCCTGATACGAGATATCAAACAATTCTGCCTCTTCCAGACAAAGATGAAACTCCTCCATATCATAATTGCGTCTAGAGGAGCCGCCCAAACCATCATGTGGAAAAAGCATAGAGTTGAAATCTCCCATTACAACCCAAGCTTTCCTTTGGACAAAAGCACTAAATTTACCAATATCTCTCCAAAGGTCACGTCTTTCCACTCCCGTATTACACCCATAAACAAARGAAATAAAAATTGGWTCAAGGTGACCAACAATCCTAATTTCACAATGCACATATTGAGAATGCTGCTCATTCATCATTAGGGATAACACAGAAGGATCCCAAGCAATAATAAGCCGCGTTCCTTGGTCACACATTAACCCATTTGTGATCCAACTCCAATTACCAAAAACTCTACCACAAACTTCCCCCAGGTGACTATGAACTACTTTTGATTCAATAATGCAACATAAAGAAAGATGCTTTATATGGATTAAATCACGTACCTCTTTTTGCTTTATTAGGGCATTAAGACCCCTAATATTCCATGCTGCAAACTTTATCATTGAGACGCTGAAGTGTGAGTCTCCCCTCCTCGTTGTTCCATAGTATACCCCTCAGTATCAATGATCTCCATATCATCATCATCACTAGAGTCATCAGACGGTAAAGAAGAGAAACGATTACTAGTAGCCGTCTTACTGACAGCGCCTCTTCTTGGTTTAAAAGCATGGACCACCGTTTTGACAAGCTCCGGACCCCCCTTTGGTAGAATTTGGACATTCGAAAAGACATCTTTCTCTTTTGGCGTCCGCCCAGCATCCACCGTACAAAACTGACTATCCTCCCTTTCCACACCCTTTCCATCCGAAATTTAAAACCATCATGCCGTATACCATTACTATCCTTATCAGACCCGCCCGGGACAAGCAAAACCTCATTAGCCTTTTGACCAGAACCTACTCCAGTTATGGTGTCTTTAGAAGCAGAAGCCGTGCCTGAAGAAGAAGCTTGAGCATCAATACCAGATCCAGGTTTTGACTTCGGCTTCCAGTGTCTACGTCTAGGTGCTTGAAACCCGTCATTATGCGAAGGAACAACAGTAACCTTTAGTTTAGTAATTTCCCCTTTCAAACAGGACGACGTTCGATGACCAAAAACTTTGCATTTTGAACATTGGGAAGGAACCCAATCATATTCTAAAACCACATTAATCACATCCTCACCAGTGCCCGAAAGTCTCGGAATAACAACCTCAATCTGCCTCTGTATTTCACCCACAACACAAACATCCACCAACACTTTAGCAAAATTCGTACGTCCCCAAGCTTTATCACAAGTACTAGCCGTGCAAGCATCCAAACGCAAAGGAACACCGATAGCACTTGCAATATGACTAATACCCTCTCTATTGAACGCAACAAGAGGAATATTATAGAACTTAATCCATAACGGGCAAGAAGTGTGTTCAGGTTTCTGAAGACCCTTTGAGGGGTCCCATGTGGAGACAAAAAGCGGCCTCCCTCTAATCATGAGGGGAGACGACTCAACCACTTGATTGCACCCACCATCATCATTAAAACGAAAAAAGAAGTACCCAAGATCATTAACCATAGCATCTTTAAGGCCAAACTTTCCCCAAGCGTTTTGGACCGCATGCTGGACAATGGGAAAAGGAAGACGAGGTCCTAGAAAATAACCATAAAGAACCGATTGGAAGGATTTGGCCATACCTTTAGTAACTTCCAAAGGAAAGAAGATCCGCGGTTTAACACTCTTCTCCACCGAAAAATAAGTAAGTTCTTGCTTTGAAGTGCCTCCCACAATTTCAGCAAAGGACTTTGGAGAAACCATGCCCGGATCACCCCTAACAGCCGGAGAGAGAAGTTCCCACACCGAAACCCTCTGAGTACACCATTAACCCCAACCTTCTTCCGTATACCGTCATGCAAGAGAGATCCTTTCAACAAACTAGGAACCGTCTCATCCAGGATTATATCGGCAAAATCCTGGGACGAGTCTTCTTCCAAGATAACATCCGCAAAATCAGACATCATAACCAACGCAAGAATACTTAGTTTACTAATTCCCTGATCAAGAAGCCGTGGTGCTGAATCCCAAGTCAAGCATTCTCAATAAAATAGACGAAGACCTTAGAAGAAGGTGCTGAATATTCTATCAATAAACTTAACCAAGGAGACGAAGACCATAGAAACACTTGACGCATGAAAAGAAAACTAGATAACGTTACATAACCAACCTGCAACCAAGAACAGACAAAGGACGAAAGGAGAAAGCAAACAAATCCAAACAGCCCACAACGATACCACAATTGCATGCAAACCCTAGTCGTGCAACCCAAGGCGCATGCAAACCCTAGTCAAGAAAAACCAAAAACGGCCAACCAAGGACTCAATCTGTGAGCAAAGGCCGCAAGAAATCAAATCCCGAAGCTAAACCCAAAAAATCGATCACAACAACCAAGAAAGACGGTACAAACCCTAGGAGACAAGAAAGCATGCAATACCGGCCAAAAAGAAACCCTAGCCGTGAGCAAAAACACTTAAATGAAGAAACCCTAATGCCGCCTCCAAAGGAAATCGAAGGAAACCTAAACCGTGAACAATACAGCCTTTGAAGAAGAAAACGAAATCAAATCAATAGCAAGTACCAAACAAACCGAACGCAAAACATCAAGAGGAAACAACCAAATAGAAGAAATCCCCAAAGTCGACTTCAAGAAAATCGAGAAAACCCTAAACCGTGAGCAAACGGCTTGAGAAGTAGAAATCGATGGCAAGCCAATAACGAACACCAATCAAAACAAAGCGCAAAACATCAACAAGGGGCAATCGAAAACATCATCTTCATCTTCAAACAATCAAGCCACCTTGAGAGAAAAAGTCAAACCTTAGTCAAACCCTCTTCCTCTTTTAAAAGAGCATTCGTGTCAAAATGACACTACTGAAAGGGGAAGAGTTTCCCCAGGCAATTTTATAAAGACAGTAAAAAAACGTCACCAATACAAAGCAATCAACAAGAAAAACTACGGCAACTTTGACTCACAAACCAAGTCATAAGGAGCCAAAAATGACAAAGGGAATTACACCAAA